GCCCCACAGGGTGCCCATGCCCGGGGCCATAACTATGGCTCCTGCCATGGCCGCCACCATCACCATGGCCACCACCATGGCCATCACCATGGCTACTGGCAAGGGCACTGCCACCATGGCTACCACCACCACCAGCACAGCCACCATCATGGCTACTGCTATAGTCACTGCCACCGCGGCCATCACCATGGCCATCACCATGGTCACCACCACCACCACAACCACCATGGTCACCACCAAGGCCATCGCCATGGTCCCCAGCACCACCACAACCATCATGGCCACCACCAAGGCCATCGCCATGGTCCCCAGCACCTCCATAACCACCATGGTCACGACCAAGGCCAGCACCATGGTCCCCAGCACCTCCATGACCACCATGGTCACCACCAACGCCATCGCCATGGTCCCCAGCACCACCATGGGCACCACCAAGGCCATCGCCATGGTTACCAGCACCACCACAGCCACCACCAAGGCCATCACCATGGTCACCAACACCACCATGACCACCATGGTCACCACCAAGGCCATCGCCATGGTTACCAGCACCACCACAACCACCATGGTCACCACCAACGCCATCGCCATGGTCCCCAGCACCACCATGACCACCATGGGCACCACCAAGGCCATCGCCATGGTCCCCAGCACCACCATGGTCACCACCAAGGCCATCACCATGGTTACCAGCACCACCACAACCACTACCAAGGCCATCGCCATGGTCCCCAGCACCACCATGGTCACCACCAAGGCCATCACCATGGTCCCCAGCACCACCACCGCCCCCAGCAACCCAAGAGCCACCTCCCCTCCCACGACCACCACGTTTGCTGCCACGGTCCCCGCTCGGCTGTCACCTTGATGAGGTCGATGAGGAGGGAGGACTTGAACATCCAGTCGAGCTTCATGTCCTCGTTGCGCAGCAGGTCCTCCAGGCTGCCGCGGGAGCAGTGCTCCGAGACGATGGCGAAGATGCCGCAATCGTGGAAGAAGCCCAGGAAGAGGTTGACGTTCTCGTGGCGCAGGTCACGCAGCTGCGGAGGGGCCGGAGGACACGTGGGACGGGGGGTGGCATTGTCCCCGGCGCCTGGTGTTGTCCCCAGGGCCCGGCCTTGTCCCCCATGGCCTGGCGTTGTCCCCTCTGCGCCAGCGCTGTCTCTCCAGGGCTCGGCGTTGTCCCCCATGACCCAACGTTGTCCCCGTGACCCAATGTTGTCACCCACGACCCAACGCTGTCCCCCATGGCCCAGCACTGTCCCCATGACCCAACGTTGTCCCCATGACCCAACGTTGTCCCCATGACCCAACGTTGTCCCCCATGGCCCAGCACTGTCCCCATGACCCAACGCTGTCCCCATGACCCAATGTTGTCCCCCATGGCCCAGCCCTGTCCCCATGGGCCAGCAGTGTCCCCCATGACCCAATGTTGTCCCCATGACCCAGCGCTGTCCCCATGACCCAACGTTGTCCCCCATGACTCAGCAGTGTCCCCGTGACCCAGCATTGTCCCCATGACCCAATGTTGTCCTCCATGACTCAGCGGTGTCCCCATGACCCAGTGGTGTCCCCATGGCCCAGCACTGTCCCCACGACCCAACATTGTCCCCCATGGCCCAGTTTTGTCCCCATGACCCAGTGATGTCCCCCATGACCCAGCGCTGTCCCCATGACCCAACGTTGTCCATTGTCTCCATGACCCAACATTGTCCCTCATGGCTATGTGTTGTCCCCATGACCCAGTGACATCCCCCGTGACCCAGCAGTGTCCCCCATGACCCATCGCTGTCCCCCATGACCCAGTGCTGTCCCCATGGCCCAATGTTGTCCCCCATGGCCCAGTGTTGTCCCCATGACCCAGCGCTGTCCCCGTGACCCACCAGTGTCCCCTAAGGCCCGGCATTGTCCCCATGACCCAGTGATGTCCCCATGACCCAACGTTGTCCCCGTGGCCCAGCAGTGTCCCCCATGACCCACCAGTGTCCCCATGACCCAACATTGTCCCCCGTGACCCAGAATTGTCCCTCGTGACCCAGCGCTGTCCCCCATGACCCAGTGGTGTCCCCATGGCCCAGCAGTGTCCCCGTGGCCCAGCATTGTCCCCGTGGCCCAGCACTGTCCCCATGACCCAACATTGTCCCCCATGACCCAACGATGTCCCCATGACCCAGTGATGTCCCCCATGGCCTAGCATTGTCCCCCGTGACCCACCAGTGTCCCCCATGGCCCAACGCTGTCCCCATGGCCCAGCATTGTCCCCCATGGCCCAGCGTTGTCCCCGTGGCCCCCTCACCTTGCAGAAGGCCAACTTGGTGGCCGGTTTCACCTCACTGTGCTGCTCTCCGGGGAACTTCTTCAGCCAGACCCAGTCACCCTGGGGGGGGGACAGAGCGGGTGACGGCTGAGCACCCCCGGGCCCAGCCCCACTCCGAGACCCCGGGGACACCGGCGGAGGGGGGGGAGGGGG